CCCCAAAACCCCAAAACCCCAAAACCCCAAAACCCCAAAACCCCATAAATTTAGTGGGTGGTTGGTATAACATAATTAAAAATGGGTAAGAAGAGAGACAAGAAAGGGCATTACAAGAAGATGCAGCAGGACCAGAACAGAGCTGTCGATATTAGTGACGGTAAGGTATCCCATAACTTTTACTTAGGTTTGAAAGGGTTCTTCATCACTTGTAAAACAGGAACTGAGAAAAGATGAATAAAGGAAATCTTTAATGTCCTTAATGAGTATACTGAGAAATTATACCCTGACATTGAAGCTCATAGAGAAGAAAGAGATCTCCAGCTCAAGAAGGAACAAGAAGAAGAGAAGAAGAAAAGAGAACAAGAAAGCACTGAGGAGCAAAAGGAAGAATCTAAAAAGGAGCCAACCGAGAGCAACGCTACAGAATCTCTTCCTGAGCCTACAAAAGTATGTTCATCCAACATCTAACTCCGTATAGCCAGATAAGCCTAAATCTATGGACCAGCTGATAGCAGATGAAATCAAGGATCTTAAGAAAGACCAGAAGTTCTACGTCTTTGATCTAAAACTTAAGTCAATGATTTTCATCAAAATCTCAAAACCATACAGAGACCTTATAGATGTCAACAATCTTGGGGATGCTATCCTGACTGATATTCATGAGAAAGACATGAATATTCTGAGGTTCTGCTTAAAGCTAATCCCTATTATCTTCGTCTGCAAAGCATCCAATACGAATAATTTCTATAAGTTGATCAGGAAGGAAGTCAAGCAGTATTTCACTGGGCTTAAAAACTTCACTTGGTCCATGGAATACAAGAATAGTAATAATATGCTAGTTAAGCGCCAAGAAGTCCTAGATGTAAGCACCTTATCCCTGAGATTATAGCTAGTATACAACCTTGTGAATACTGAAGACTCTAACTGCTCCGTTGACCTGAAACATTCTGAATACACTGTCTTCTGAAGAGTCTGCATGGATATTATATTGTTCGGAATTCTCCATAAATTCAATAAGTACAGGAAATTCGGTAAGACTTTTCATCATCTCTCAGCATGAACCAACGCTCTAAAAGAGCCAAATCAGGAAGAAACTAAAGAAGAAGCAAAAACCCACGACGAAAATCCCCCTACCAACCCCTCTTCCCAACCCCCTTCAACCCCAAAAGACCCTCCCACCCCCTCCCCCAAAACCCCTCCCAACCCCTCCACTGACCCCACTCCACCCGCTCCACCTCCCAACCCAGCTGCCCAAGAAGACAGTCAGTCAGACATAGATCTAATTTAACTCTAAGACTATATCTGTTAACTTCTATTCTCCCTCTTTTCCAAAATTCCCCACTGAAAAGCAGCCACAGGGTTAATTAAGAGTAGAAATTGTAGTACAAATTGGGGGAATTAGTAGAGATTTGGGGTAGAGATTTTTAGAGGAAGAGGATTAAGTGCATATTTGTGTTGTCATTGTTTCGTCGATTATTAAGACTCTTTATAGAAGAGATATCCCAATTTCAAGTGTAAGAACTGTTAAAGGGGTTTTGGGGTTTTGGGGTTTTGGGG